TCTATTCACATAAAATAACTATACAACATGCGAAACAGACAAATGACAATAGGCGAACAGTTCTCGTAACATATTTTCACTTCGCTTAGCAAGGTGCCGTAATACAGTGGACGTTTGATCGTTACTTGAATCTGTATATTGTTTACATATTAACGCATTATTAATAATCTGAGCAGTTTTTTTCTATTAAGAAGTGAATTGCTGAAAGCAATTAGTTATTATTGTCGACATGTATGGTTTATATAAAGAACGAGACAAGTATTTCGTGCAAATTCGAAATATGTGCAATAAGAAAAAGTTGATTACACAAAATGGTACAAATGGATACAAATAGATTTTCTTATTTACATAATAATTTTATACGATATTAATTACATTATAATTTAATCTCTTGCTTATGTATAACTTTTTGATAACCTAATCATGAATTTACGATAATTTTACATAATGAACCAAATTTTCAAATTAAAACTTGAAATATTCTGACACATTGACATAATATGTCTTTTTAATTAGTTAATCTGATTTTAAAAAAGACAATTAATAGAATTGGTTTGGTAATTGCAGGTAAGTGTGAAATGCTTAATAGAATAGCAAAGAATTTAAACACAAGAATACCACTTATGCGACTAAGTGCGACTAAAAGTATTGGTACATATTATAGTTTCCGTTTATGTTATGGTAAGAAAATATAGCACGTTACAATTGACTGCAACCTGTCTTTTATTTCAGATTGCAATGATGTTAATGCTTATAAACTTAAATGTAATCTCGGATTAAAAAGCAATTTTCAAACATTACCTAATAAAGATATAAGCACTGATAAGTTACTGAAACAGAATAATATACTATTTGATATATATATATATAAGTGATGAACTACAAAATCAATTCTTTTGCAATGATTTAGAGATTAATCCATCTGATTCTGGAACAAATATCAAATAATAATGTTATTTTAGATTTTGACATTAATTTACCAGTCATATTTTTAGTTGATGAGTTGAATGATTTTGATTTAAGTTCAAATACAGAATTAAGTTGTCAAAATAAAGAAGGAAATGACATAGTTAATAATGTTCTTGTACATGAGAATGATAATTATTGCAGCAATGATAGTGATAGTTTAAAAAATAAAGATAACAATGAAGATAAAATGGATAACAATAGTATTGATGATATAGAATTGACGGATAAAAATAAGAATTCAGAGGAACGTAAAACGTATTTCATAAATAATTCTGTGTGTAATAGCGATAACAGTAATGATAATGCAGATAATGATCCTGATTATTGCTACAATGCAGACTTGGAAAATTCTGAGGAAGATAGGGATATTTCTACATAACCATGTTTGTCACAATCTATTAATAGTACACGTAGTAGCTTACAAACATCGTTAAATGTCACTGGACAGGAAATCTGCGACGATACTAATTTAAATGTCCAGTGTTCAAAACCTAAAGGTACAGGCAAACAAAACTTTTGTTATTATTGCAAAAAAATGCAATAAAAAATAAATAGGCATCTCGAACGAGAGCATAAAGATGTAAAAGAAGAGGATGAAAAATTAATTCCATTACCCAAAGATACAGAGAACAGATTCTCATATATTATTAACAAAATCTATATTTATATTATGATAATTTATTAATTTTTCTATAATTTAAATTTTACCTATAATATATATCTGTTTATATAACATTTAATTCTATATATAATAAGTTTATTGGCTATTTATCCATATTTCCTAATATACTCTTATAACATAATTATATATTTATATAATTATAATCAATCCATCCATTTATTTAAAATTTTTTGATGAAGATCGTATTTATTTTTGAAATTATACATAGTGTAAAATATAGAACATATATTATAACATTCTACTATCAGATTTTACATTTACAATTTTATATTCTATATCAGATATAGGAGAAAAAGTGAGGAGAAAAGTTTTGGATTCAGGAGATTAAATCAATAATATGCGAATATTAAAGAGATTAATGAAGTAAGGCATGTTTTTGTTATCTTTATTTTGCTTGCGTATATTCCGATCTTCAGTCTCACAACAAAGTATCTATATAACTGTATATACGTCCGTGGCAAGGAAATGAGTGAGAATCATATATATCTTCAACTCTGTCTCGAAAATCAGTTCAAATTGGACACAGTGAATTTGTGTCATTTGTGTTTATTATGTTCAATATCGTTCCTCTCACATTAATCGCTCACATGATCTTTTACCCAAAAGTTTTCATTCTGTATCATATAAAATGTGCTGACTGTTACTAGATGCATATAATTATAAACTCTATGTACACATATGTAGTATATATACTGCGGCATATATACCGAAAATATTAATTGAATTTATATAGTAGATTTTAATTATAAGTTTTTTGTTTTTATATCATGATTTTTAATTTTACTATTTGTATTAGATAATAAAGAGAGAGACAAAAGATTATTGATCTTTTCAGACGACGAGGCAATTATTTATTCAATATAGATCCCACATATAACAAAAGAGAGTTGATAGTCTGCAGAAGACCGACAGAATCTAAAAAAGACTGCATGCGATTTTATATGTTGTGCTGGATGTAAAGGCTTTTTTACTAAAAATAATATATGTCATCATTTTAAAGAATGTACAAAAATCGGTTGGTAGAGCTGTCAAAATACTCGGAAGGAAAGTTCAAGGTCGAATTCACAACTGTGCAAATTCTATTTTAAGAAACATTGTATTTCCTGTATTAAGAGAGGATGACGTCATTCGATTAATTAGATATGATAAACTGCTAATCACCTACGGCAAAAATTATGTATAAAATACAAATATCAGCATTAAAAAGATATAATAAGATCTTGCTTAAGATTGTTAAGACTATTTTTACAAGCCCTTTGACTTAATAAAAACGTAAGAGATTTCTGTGGTATGTATCATCCATCAATATATGATGACTGTATCGCCGCTGTAAATCAAGTGGCAGGTCTTAATATCGATACAAAAACTTATGCAGCTCCTTCTGTTGCATCAAAATTTGGCACATTGTTAAAGCAAATAGGAAATTTAAATATCGCTGAACGCATAGAATGCAATAAATTAGAAGAAAAAACGAACATAGAGAATTTTTTGAAATTATTACAGGAAGACTTCAGTCTGTCTGTTAATAAAACCGTTGAGGAATCCATATTACAAGCTAAACGTTATCAATTACAGGAATTACCTTCATTAAATTGTTACACAATTTTTTACAAACTAAACGACGTTCAGCATTTCAACAGCTGAAAAATGTATTTATGTATAATAACTTGGCGACAACTAGCGCAATTTACGTTGATATTCATTCAAGTGTTCAATAGGCGAAATAGAACGTATATTCATCGATGATTATAAGCATCAAGAAAGTATAAACGAATCCAGACTTATATGAATCTCTACCACATGAAGCTCGTAAAGTATGTTTTTACGCTTTGCTTCTATATGTAATATTTATTGTATAAAAATGATTGAAGCCTGAAAATTGTGAATTAGTGAAAAAATAGGATATTACATATATGTTCACTTGTTTATAATGAAATTAAAATTATGAAATTAAAATTTATAAATATCTATTACATATTAATATAAAAAAGAAATCACTTCAATATTATAAACCGCCATTCTATAAAAGATTGATCATAAGTTTAATATTTAATAAAATTACTTTATTTATTTAAATACAAATTATATTATCACAAAGAATTTTAATACAAATATAAATCATTTACACTGCAATTTCGGGTTTCTAATTATGTTGTAATATATAATACATAAAATTGTAAAAGATTATAAATAAATTATTCTTATAAAAAAAAATGAAAATGTTACGACATTTTAATTTCCAGAATAGTTTCTTCAAAACAAAGCTTGATACAAAAAGTTTTGTTGTATATCTTTTTATTTATTTTTATATCAGAAATTATATTGATTATGTATATTCCTTTATTTCTCAGCTTAGACAATGTTCTAAATATCAATTTTTTAAATAATCATTTATAAAATATTTACATATGTATATATTCATTCCTAAAATATATAATATTTAAATATTAAATGCACTTGATCTGTTTTTAAATTTTTTTTAATATTTGCAAATATAAACTTAAGAGTAATATTTTTTTATTAATATCTTCTTATTAATTAAATATCATATATTTTATTATTAAATATAATGGTGTTAACTAAAATTAATACAACGATTATATTTAATCTTTAAGTTAATGAATTTCATTTCTAATTTTAATGGAAAATAAAAAATATCTATCTGTGTGTATTAATATCTGTAGTAAAAATATTATAAATATTTACATTACATAAAGAAGAAGATGATCAATTATATACTTTCAGGTAACTGAAAAGTATAAGGTTCTTTATTAGAGGAAAATTGGAAAGATCAGTTCCTGTTCTTTTGGATTATGAAATGAAAACTTGTATTGATTTACTTTTACAATATCGTAAGGAAGCAAATATACCTGAAAAGAATCCTTATATATTTGCTTTGCCAGGTTACGATAAAATGCGATTCAGATATATAAGAGCATGTGACTTATTACATACATATTCTCTAGAATGTGACAAAAATACCTCTTACGAGATACAAAACTTCGCAAACATATAGCAACAAGATGCATTACCTTGAATCTATCGGAACATGATGTAACACAACTCGTAACCTAGGTTATGACTCGTTACCTAGATCATGATAAAAGCATTCATACGCAACATTAGCCTATATCACAAATTGAAATAATTAAGATGTCTCGATTGTTTAAAATAGCATAAGGTGAAGATTATAGTAATGAACAAGATGCTGAAAGATAACCTACAAATTAATGAAGAAAAAGATAGTTTTATAATAAATGAAACATTCCAAGAGAATCACGATAATATGGATGATAGCGACGTGTCATATACTAGCCCAATTCATAACATTGTAGGAAAAATGGATGGAAGAAAAAGACGTAGTAGTAAGTACATGTATTTATGTATTTACATGTATACAAATATATATACATAATTGTAATTTTTATACTTTTATTACATGTAAAACTTTTTATAACGAATTTTAACTTTTTATAGCATTACCCTATGGTTCCACGAAACGTGTAAGGTAGACACAAAAGGGATATGAAATAGTAAAGACTTCTTTTAAACAAGAAATAGAAGAACGTTTACCTTCAGGAAAACAGATGGTAGAAGTTAAAATGAAACATAAATGTTTAAGCCGTCGTTCCATTCCGCAGATTAGAAGATGGATCCACCACCAAATTTCTAGAAAAAACAAATAATAAGTAGCATTTTCTGTCGCATTAGTCATAAAATACAATATAAAATATTTTTAATGTATGCAATACGAAATAACATATATACAGATATATGTACAAGTTAGTATAAAATAATATTAAAATATTAAATATATTTTTGTTATTAAAAATTAAAATGTGAAATAGAAATTGAATGTTTTTTAATATATCTATTTTCCACTTAACACAATTTTATATTCGTAATGAGATGCAGGAAAATTTTCTATAACATGTAAAGTTTCGCTGAATACTTAAACATCACGATTGGTTGCATCGATCTTGTGTTATAGATGAACATACATAGAGAAGACAAATAAACTGAAAGAGATTGAGAAAGTCTTTCTTTGAAGTCAATAAAAAAATGATTTTTTTAATCTAACATTGTTATATTGAAAGAAAAACATAAGTATGTACTTATTAATTATAATTTAAGTATAATTTCAATTTTATTATATTGGTAATAAGTTGATTCTATTCTAATAATTCTGTATTTTTGTCAATAATTTATATAGTGTTTACTCGGACATCATTAAAGCATTATTATATTATGTTTCTTACTATCAAAAACGGTTCTCATTATTATTACTTTATTAGGTACAAAAAAGTTCTGAGCTTTTTTTTGTAAAATTCAATCTTTATTCAAAAACAAACAAAAAAATATTAATCAGCGAAATATTCCCCGTTTGCATCAACGACCTTTTGCCATCTTTCGGGTAGCTTGC